AACTGGGGAAAAACTACCCAACCCCACTTTAGGACCATTTTTTTTTCTTCTTTCCTTTGCCTTTTCAATTATTACAATTGCCACACATATATACAGCTCCACACACCTTAGGGTTTGACTACTGATCTCCCCTACTTGCTATATACTCTAGATGATCAATATCAAAGTAAGATCAAGATCAAGATTATGAGACAAGATCAACAAAACTCTTCTTTTTGTTAATTGTTTTGTAATTTATAGAGAAAGAGAGAGGGGAATGGAAGAGAGGATAAAATATATGATTAATGACAATATAATATATGATCAGTTTGTCCGGTGGGTTATATACTACGGTCAGTTGGTTTGGTTGGAAAAGAACAATAGAACCTTTGGAGATGGCTCTAACACGTTAAGCCATCTGTGATATGATATTATTGTTGTAGCTTCCTCTTGGTCATTTAATTCCAATTTTTTTTTATAGTTATGATATACCTTCCGCCTCTCTTAATTGAAGGGCTTTCATTTAGATTCTCATATTTGGTATGTTTCTCACATATCTAATGAAATGATTCCGGTATCTTTACAAAAAAATTATAAAGGGAGAAAAATGTGGAAGTATTTGATTAAAGAAATGGGAAGAATTAGAGGGGAGTAGACTTCTAGAAGCCAACCACAGCTCCTTATTTACGGTTAAGGACCACAGTATCTAAGTATATTGATATGATATTGTCCACTTTTGACTTCACAAAAAGGTAAAAAAAAACCTCATATTAATAGAGATGTTGTCCCTTACATATATACTCTCGATCTTCTTCTCCTTATGCAACGTGGAAGTTTGTTTGCACTTCTTACACGCCGAACGTTACAACCCCAACATTGACTATGAGACATTTTGAAATGTTTAGTTTAGGGGCGGCCTTTATATATAAACCAAGGGACTCCCATTACTAGAAGCCCCTCTTCGGTTTTTTAAAGATTGTCAAAATTCAATTTTGACTTTTCATTTTAATTATATTATCATTGTTTTGTTTAGGAAATTAAATAAATTAAAGGCGTCCCATTCCTTGTATTCAGATTGTGGGATCATTTAATAATATTTTGGTTTATTTTCCTGATAAGGAAAGAAAGTTTCATTAAAGTCCTTATGATTTTGTAAAATCAATGTTTTCAATTTTCTTACCTGAGAGATATCATATTTAGACATCATAGAAAAAAAGTGATAAGTTAGCGTTCAACAGTTAAATTGACCTAATGAATAATTTACTAAAAAAATAGAGTGTACTAAAATTTGAGAGTCGGGTAAAATAAATATCAAGAAAATTGTTTATTATAATATAGTAGAAACATTTTAAGAAATTTACTTAAACCATAATTTTAAAATCATAAGGACTATATTAAAATTGAAATGAATCTCCAACTATAGAAAAAGAAAAAAGAAAAAGCGAATTAGCTTTCCACATAATATCGTTTATTATTATTTTTTCTTAAAGATAATGTTTGTAGAAAACCAACTTGAAGAAACAACGTGACAAATCTTTTCCATATTAAACTCCCGCCCGTGAAAAAAAGAAAGGCAAACAACTTTTAACTTGTAGCAGGCACGAAGATTAAAAAAACAAAAAACAAAAAAACAAACATTTCATATGATTATATTATATTATATGTTTAAGAGAACACAAAACCAATAAAAATCCCTAATTAGAGGTGAGATTCATTGACTTGGAAAATATAATCGATCTAATTTTTTGAGCTCATCGAACACATTATATTGACATTCAAATTATAAAAGTTATTTTTTATTCGAAGCCAAATTATCAAATATACATGCTGGCAATGTACTTTTGAATTACATTTATTAAAAATTTGGGACTGCAACTCTATACTCTACTGTCACATGAACGTTATCAACAGGATTAATTAATTAAGCTAAGAATAAAATATATTGTAATTAATGTTATAATCCCTTGATGGTTGGGGATTATCTCTTATCCAGACTTTGTTTAGTGTTTAATTAAGGGTACATGTGTTTTAGCAAAACGACAGGTGACTTTTCAGGCTACTGAATGCATAATTTGAAAATTATAGTTTAATTAATGGAAAGGGTTTCAGGATTAAATAAATTTAATTGCCATTTGGTTTTGTGTTGGAGTATATAATATAATTAAGTTAGTTGCTCCACAAAAACACTTAGGCTTGTGGGTTTTTAGTCCATTAATTAAGTTTTCTTTTCGATAAATAGTCAATTAATTAATTATTTTGTCTTATAAAAGGAAAGTACAGTTGTTTTTTTTAGTTCAATAATTACACCGTGAAAGATTGAACTTGTTAGATAGTAACAAGCTAAGTTATTTGGATATATATATATATATATATATATATATATATATATATATATATATTTTAATATGGTACCATTGCATTGGGGAATAAGAGGTGGAAATTGAAATGTAGTACTGCCCATAATAATGGAGAGGTACAAATATCTAACTAATTAATGTTATATTTAGCTTGAAACAATTTTGATTATGATTAAATTACCAATTTAGTTTTAATAGTTTGTACTTAATTTCATAATTTATTTTTATAGTTTAAAAAGTTTCAATTTCGTTTCAAAGGACTTTTTTGGTTGTAATTCAATTAAACTTCTCCTATATATATCTTTGAACGGAAAAATAGCCTCCTTGGTATGTTATTCACATACGTACTCATCAATAAAGTGATTTCCTTTATATATATATAAAATGTAACTCACGAGCAAGTAAACAAAAAGCGTGTTACTTTTTCTTTAATTATTATTATTATAAGAATCCATTTCATTCACGTATGTAAGGTACATACATCATTACATACATCAAAAGGAGGCTTATGTAAAAGCACATCAATTAAGGTCAATATTGGAGATATTATAATTACAAAATAAAGTGGATCTCTTTTTGACCAAGTTGAGGTAGATAAAACAATTTCGTCTAAAAGGGGGTTGCATTTTCAGCTACAGCACCCATGAAAATTCCCTTATTCCTTTCGATCCAAAGATGCCAAATGGTAGCTACAATTGCATTCAACTTTAAAATTTGGCTTTGGTTTGGGTTGCAATCATATAGCCATTATTCGATAAAAACATCAATTTTTTGAGGTAAAAGAATTTCCTAGGCAAAAATAATACTTGAATCTATGCCAAACCCAAGATGCCAAAATAACATTTGAGAAAAATAATATCTAAAGATTCTGATTGAGCCAAAAATATGATCAAAAGATTCTATCACATTTTCAATATAGCAGTGACCATTACTATATAACAACACAAACGTTTTGTTAGGTCTAACCAAATTTTAATATTTGAATAAAATTTTAAAATAATAGAATCACTGAATATGATTCTAAACACAAACTATAAGAACCATAATAAAAATTTTAAAATCGTATATGGTCCAAATTCACAACCATGGGTAATTAATTAAAATGTTTTAATTAATATATGCAAATGGGTGTTAGAGAGATTTGTGGTGGTCACAACAAGGCAAGAATTTGGCCTCTACCTGTTTAGCTAGGTTGGTCAAAATTGCACTAATTAATGTGTCACCAGACCATATCATAACAAATATTAATTTAATAAATATATTCTAATTGAGACAGAGAGGTGATTCCCATGTCTATGGTTTGTAGAACACAAATTAAACATCCAATCTCACTGTAATTTCAAGTAAAAAAAGAGATTAATTATGAATAATATATACTCTACTAACATCAAGGCTATAAAACCAGCCCATGAGTCCTCCAAAGACACTTAAAATTTATGCATATTCCGAATATTAAAATGAGGAACCAGCCATGTTGCCAGCCAGCTACAGAACAGGGGATACCATACCATAACCCTAAGCTTGCTTGTATAAATTTTTTTAATTAGGTTTCACATAATCTCACAATAAAAAAATAAAAAAAACTGATTTAGGGTTTTGTTTATTTCAATTGTTTTACAGGCTGACGTCAACATGTTAATACATAACTAGAAAAACCCAAGTTATTTATTTATTGAATAATCGACGATAAATTAACGCCAAGTAGTAAAAAACGATTCTTTTTCTAAAACTAGTGACTAGAATAGATATCTTGGAAAAATAGCATCAATTTAAAAGTTGCATATGAGTGTCCATTAGAGGGAATGAAAAGCATTGTTCTTAACAAGGAAAATTTGTTCAAGATCATATCAAGATGATATGGTATTGTGATTGATAAGCGAAAGCAAGCGCGCGTTGGAGAAAGGATTGTGAAGAAGAGATCGAAGAGGGCGCACGTGGAAGGCAAAAGATAAAAGGGCAGCGAAATGGTCCAGGTCCAATAAATAATACAGTTAAAGCATTAGTAATCCGTCTAGG